GATAACGCGTGCGCGCGGACAGGCCTCTGGGTCTGGGTCACGTGGCGGAGCAGGCTCCGCCTTCTCCCCCGCTCCTCCCCCTTTCCCTCCATCTGGGTTTCTTTCTTTCCTTTTCTTCTTATTTTTTTTTTCAATGAACACACACCGTGTGCATCTTAAAGCCACACCGCCCCATTTCACGGCTCCAGTTGGCTTCTCACCACTCCAGTTCCCTCTGCAGTTCAAGTGGGAGAAGAAATGTAAGAGGATGCCGCAGAACCCAGTGCTTCTGGGTCTGGTGTCTGCTGTAGGGAGGAACTTGAAAACTTATTGAAAATGGAATGTGCTTTCTTCAGTGGTCCCCCCCTCCTTAAAGAGTATAGTTGTGCAGACAGTTTAATTTGTCTCTGGCTCCACGACACCCAGCCGACCCCCCCCTCCTGTGAAGGTCGCATGATTTTTGTTCAACGTAAAGCCAATCCCAGGGATGTCTTGGCGACACTGGAAGCAATATCGGGACAAACCCTCGCGATCTGTGCACAATTTGTTTCAAATGAATCCGACATCAAAGCCTTTATTCTCTCCTACGTCACACTATTAAACATTACAGGATGCATACCGAGTTTTATTTTTTAAAAGCCTAAAACTGACTTTATTTAAGAATGTGATTAATTAAAAGTGGGGGTCCAGATGAAACCCAAATAATCTGGAAATCTCTCAATTCCATTTCTCTGGGCTGCTGAGACTGGTATATATATATATACATACCAATTTAAATATATGTTACAGATTCAAATTTTAAAAGCCTCTACTTCTACGAGTCTATGAGTTCTCTTTACAAACTCTTTCAAATTGGACTGTGCTTTTGTGTATGTTTGGTTTTTTGCGGGGGGGGTGCTAGGGGATTTAAAAAAAGGGTGGCTTTTCCCAACATTCTTGCTCTCCTCTTTAACTTTCCATTTTGTTTATCTTAATACGAGGCGTTGTTCCCTGCGAGAGTCTAAGTCTTGCCTTTGGTTATAAAAGAAAAGAGGAGGAAAAAAAAATTGGCACACACGGGCGCACTATCCACCGCCCTGTCATTATTGGTGGAGGCCTGGGAATTCAAGGCGGACCTCCCAGTATTTGCTGCTGCTTGAGGCCAAAATGTCTCTAAAAGGGTTTTCTTTGAGGAATCTCAGAAATTGTTTAAGCGCTTAAAAAAAAATTACATATCCCCCGTGTCTATCGCGAGGCAAATGCTCCTGTATGTGTGAACGTGTGCGTGTGTGTTTGCGCGCGCGCTCGCAAAAGACGTCTCACAAAAAGAAGACACTGTTGAAAAGAAAAGAAATAAGAAAGAAAGGAGGGGAGCATTCCTTAATGGAAGTATTGCATGAGAGAAGGTTGGCGCTGAGCGAGTCCGTCCTCCCCCCCCCCAAGCCGGGGATGCACACACGGGGGTTGCCTACCTGGGTGGTCTCTCTACTTTGGTGAGCTGTTGCTAAGCAGCTAATAATAGTCATGTTTGCTGAGTAATTTCTGCCCTCCCCCAGCCAATGGCATCGCAGAAACCCAAGCCATCTGACAGCCCCGGGGGCGGGAGTTCCAGCCTTTTTCTCTTTCGCTCGCTCTCTCCCCCTCCACCCCCTCCCCTCCTCCTCCTCTTTCTCCAAATGGAGAGAGTTCTTATTTTTCTTCTTCCATCTCATACACTGAGTCAAGGAGCTGCTGCGGCCGCTGCCCGCTGCACACACACAGAGCGGAGTCCCCAGGTCCCGGGAGCGAGAGAGGCGCGCAGCGCGGGGGCAGAATGGTCCAGCGGGTCGGTGAGGAGAACAAGAAAGCAGAGTCCGGGACCGAGCAGCCAC